AGCCGTCGCTGAGGAATCGTATCGCGACGCGACTCTTCGTCGTCGTCGAAAGTGAAAGTATTCCACGAGGTGAACACACACGCTTCGTCTACCGGGACAATGACAGCCGAATGATCCCGGCTGACCTTTGTAACCCGTTAAATATCAAACGTTGCATATATATTCGCGGTTGCGACGTGTCCTTATCTCGGTAGCATCGGATGGAATCTCTTTCGGTAGGACGATCAGTTCCATCGTGGGTTGGGTTTTCCGTGAACGAACAACGCGTTTCCCGGATGAAATACCGGGGCTCTAGGATTTCTATGACGGACAGACGATTCTTTGGCTCGGTTGAACGGACAACGAGGGATTATTGGAGATTGATTTGTAGAGACGTTTCTAATTTGTGCGGATTTTTGGCATTGTCGCTGGAGACATCGGAGGTATTTTTCGATGTTTGCCAACTTCTTGTTCGTCGTTTTATTTTAGCATGTGGTTTTAAAACGGTAGGAATGTTGGTTTACGAGGAGAGAGAGAGGAAAAGAGTGGAAAATTGAGGATGAAAATGAATAATATTATGGTTACGGGTAGCGTGTACTTTTTTTCTTCTCTTTCCTTGATCCGAGGAAATGACTGGTGCGCAAGTGGAACACAAATTAATGGAATTAATTTGAGCAGGTTGTCGAAACGTTTAGGGAGGAAATGAGGTTTTGTCGATGATAGATTAAGCGTGTTTTCGCCACGTTGTGAATTGTAATGCAACGAAGAGGCAACAGAGTGTTTTTTTCCTAGTAAAAGGTGTCTAGTAGATGTTACTCGCGCTCGTAGAATAATTATTCGCGTTTTCGCAACAGCCAGTGGGAAACAACCGGATGCCGTGTCGCATCGCTGGCATAACAGAAATTTCTAACGGCTGGAACCAGCGCGATTCAGGAAAGTAACAGGCTTTACTCTTCGGAAAATTTCGCACCGACGCTGTCGTGTTGTTGTTGGCACGTGAAAATCTAATCGCGCTTAGAATTCGAGTTAATTCTGAAAATATGAAAATTACAACGTGAAACATGACGTTTCGTAAGCATCGATTATTGCTTTACACGGTTGAAAGTGGTCAAACGAGTCCTATGAGAATTAATCGATCTGGCTGTGCTTAATTGACAAATCTACACGATCGATTAATGACCGTACGCCCTTATCTTTCTGGTAAAATTGCTCGTTTGATGCGTTCGACGCACCGGTCACGGTTATTCTTAACGACGCACAATTTTTTCTTTTTTTTTTTTTTCGGTCCATAGGAATGTTGAAAAGTCATCCGAGCAAATATTTGCACTTCGATTCTTTAGGCGGAGAGTAAATGTTCGCTGGCTCGACTCGAATCGACGTATTTTTGAAGCGATGTAGGCGCAACAGGTTGGGAATGACTCCCACCTGTTGCAATCATGTGCCAGACCCACGCAACGAGTAGCCTCAGCTTGGAATTCGATTACAATTTCACCGAACTCTGTTACTCCTGAGGATCGCGTAGCGCACAACTCCATAAAACCACGGAGATTGACTTTCGAATACCGCTTCCGTTCCGTCGCGGTATTCGCATTTTTGCACTTCCGCTTCTCTTTTGCGTCTGAATTGTGTATTGGAAAGGAAACTTAGAGTCGCGATATTGGAAAGATTGAAACTTTGAATATTCGGAAATTTGAATATTCGGAAATGTGAATATTTGAAAGTTTGAATATTTGAAATTTTGAATAATCGAAAATTTGAATATCCGAAAGTTTGAATATTTGAAACTTTGAATATTCGGAAATGTGAATATTTGAAATTTTGAATAATCGAAAATTTGAATATCCGAAAGTTTGAATATTCGAAACTTTGAATATTCGGAAATTTGAATATTCGAAAGTTTGAATATTTGAAACTTTGAATATTCGGAAATGTGAATATTTGAAAGTTTGAGTATTTGATAGTTTGAATATTTGCAAATTAAAATACCCGAGGACTTAAATATTCGAAGATCTCGAAAAAAGAAAAACATCGGTCCTCTTTCCTGAACCACGCCTCAATTTAATCGCTGCGCGTGTTTCGAAGAAAGAAAAAAAAAAGAGTATAGAAGATAGAGAGACAGTAGGATCAACAATGCCGAGGGTGGTGAAAAAACCGGCAAGCGGTTCCTCTTCGGTTAATGGGACGTGGATTAATTGCCGGCTATACCAGGATGCGTACACGTCTGGCCGGGCACGCATATGCGGGTTGTGTAAATTGAAACAAGACACTATTCGAATCCGGCGCTGCGCGCTCACCGCGCCGGTGCGATCGAACGCGCAAAAATAGAACGATCACTGTGAACGCACTCAAGTCCAGTGAAAGTATCTGCTGGAACGAAAAAAAGAAAAAAAAAACGAGAAAAAAAATAAAATAAACGGATAAAAAGAAACACGCGTGTGGAATAAAGTAACCCGATTTATCCAGCAACGATCTAAAAATTCTCTAATATAAACGGGACCGTTTAAACGTTCCACAGGTACGAATTTATAACAAGAAAACGCTGATCTTTTATATTTCGCCTCCATTTGCATTCTCTTCCGTTTCGTACCAGATACGCGTATGTAGCGTAACGTTACGCACATGTACACGCATACACGGACACAGTATAACGTGCGGTATAAAATTCTCGGCAGACAGATTATGCACATGTACGTATCACACACGTGTTTGCACATTGACGCACACGCCCTGTCCTCACTGGATGCTTTCATTTCCCCTTCCTCCGCTCGCGTATCGTGAATTTTAAATTGTAACCGGAAGACGAGAGAGTTAGAATGGAATTTTTCTACCAATCCTAATTGCTTTCGCGCTGTCTTTAAATTACCAAATTACTCGTGTCACGTTCCATGGCGAATTTTCTAACCTAACACTTGTCGAAATTCGCACAATTCTCTCCCGCGACAATGCGTTAACCATTTTCGTTTCACGTACGGTGGAAGAAAAAATGACTCGACTCTCGACGCGCGTGTAATTCGAAATTTTTCCCGATTAGAACAGCGTGGCCGCGTTAATTGTCCTTCGTGCGCTTTAATTCGTCTCCGACGGCCGCGCAACGCTCGCGCTGCTCGCTTTGATCCGCGCGCGCGAGATCGTCGTCCTTCTCCGCGCTCGAGGTTTCTTCACATCTCGCGGCGGTCGACAGAGACGGCCGGATAAAGTTGGAGAAGGAAGAATGCCGCGGGAGAAGGGAATCAGAGAGAGAGAAAGGCGCTTCTATACACGCCATTCACAAGAACGCAAGAGAGCATAGGCAGCGAGATATGCGCCCGCGAGCACGAGCGAGCACTAGCGAGCAAAGAGGCAGGAAAAATCAGGGAGCGCGGTAACGGGCTATAATCTTACAGAGAAATAATTATTCGCGGGTAGATCCGATTCCTAGTGGTTTGCCTTCGTTTGTCCGGATTCGAACGGAATCAATCCTCCCGTTGCTTCTGTTCCAACAGTACCGAAGGTTAATGTCGTTCACATTTGCCTCTTTCGCAATTTATTATAATTTTTATTAATTAAAAGTATTCGTACGATGTTGAGAAAATTTCAACATTTCAACGTGTCACCGAGAGTTGATATAACCGTGGAAAAAATAAGGAATTCTCTATGGTGTAATGGACGAGGGAACACGTATAGCCGTGACCCACAGAAAGCACCAAAAATAGAGGAGAGACTTAGAGGAGAGAAGGCGAAGGACGCGCAGAGAGAATTTAGAAAACCAACGTGGAGATCGCGCGTCTCGATACGTCCAAATTTAGGAGGGCGAGCCTCTTCTGCCGGCCTCCGAGTTCGTTTTCCGGCTCGGAGTGCCGCCTACGTGATTTAAGGCTCGTTAACGCAGCTCCGGCGTTAAATAAATCGTAACTGCTACGTGTGTCCACGTCTATAATCTCGTTGGTTATAATCTAGCGCGTGCAAGTCGCGACATGTTCAACTTTAGGATATTTGCGAACCGTTGGAACGTTAGTTGCAATTACCAGCCCAATAAAACGAGGTTTATACTAGCGAGGATGCACGCAGGATCATTAGTTACCGCGTGGATAGTAACGAACACGGCACGTGCAGTTTTCTATGGCGCATCGTGCACGCCGCATCGAACACTTCCGTCGATATAGCCGCGCTGCTAACGACGTTGCCTCGCTACGAATCGGTTGAACGGTCCACGAGACGCGTCACCTTTTATACGCGGCACTGAAATATCCGCCGGGATATTAAATATTTACGCGTGACTCGCGTTCCGTAGAAAACGGATGGGTTTATCAGAGGATTAATAGGCGATTCGCGCAAGTGAACGGTGAGTTAACGAGGATGGGTTCGATGAAAACGATGTACGAGACAAGAGGCAGCGTCTTCGATGGAAAAATGTTGACCGAGCCGAACGAAGAACAGAGAATATATTGTACGGTGGCGTAGACGGACGGAACGACGCAGACAATTATGCCGAATGGAACAGGACGCCTCGGTAAGCGGAACTAAACGGGAACGGTACATCCTACGATCTGTTGCAAAAAGTTCCGAGCGGTTCCACGCGATCCGTTTACAGCGGGATCGTTCTCGAGAGAGATACACATGGAGGCGCATAAGAAACGAAAAGTACACACCGAGAGGATTAAATCTAGATAAAATAATCTCGATCTGTTGAAAATCTTATCTCGCGCGAAGGAGTGCGATTTTAGTTGATTAAGTGTGAAACAAAGTTCGCTTTATCGAGGATTCGCACGCGTAGTCGGATTGGAAACGATCGTGCCGCGCGAAAGTCGTAAATCTTGTCGAGAAACTTGAACATGACGGAATAAAGTCATTTGCGTCGTTCGACTGGAAGTAAAACCGTAATTTTCTCGAGATTCGATTTATCGAATCGAGTAAAAGTACGTTCAAGTTCTGTTCGAATTTTATGACAGAATCGGTTCGATCGAATTACTCGGTGTAATGCGCAAATGGAAGAGAACGTAGAAAGTCTACCGAAAATTTGGCAGACAAACACAGAAACGTACCTTGTCCAGGCACTTGAGCTCCTCGATCGGGTAGACCGTTTTCTCGCAGCGGGCGCACGTCTTGCTCATCTTCTACTTCTTCCTTCTCTTCTTCGTCGTCTTTCTTCTCTGTCCCTCCCTCACGGCCGCAGTTCCGCGTACGTATGTATCTTGGCCTCTCTTGTCTTCACGAAACACTGCGCGAACGTAAAGAACACGTGTAACACTAACGACACATCCGCGCGGTATTTCTCGTCGAGACGAACGCGGAAAATCAATGGCGATGCGCGTTTACGCTGTGAGATTGTTTACTAGTTTTCTCTACGACAACCGACACCGATTGAGAAAATGCACGCCAGCAGAAAACCTCGAACTGCACGGGTGCCACAGAGCCGCACCAAACTGCACTGCCCTCTCGTCCTCGTCTAGCCACAAAAACTCCTTGAGTGACAGTAATGGTGGTACACCACTCTAGTCAGTGGAGCGATGGAATATATATATTTACTGGACATTTTAAAATTTCCTCTTTAATAAATCATTTCCTACAGCTTTTAATTGGAGAAAAATTATGTGGTTGTTATATTTTTGTCGTAACGTTAATTAAAAACATTATTCCGAACGTAGCTATCCTTTATGCGCTGAGTCGGTAACGTAGATCGATCGAAAGATTCCTCGATAATTTAGGATTGCCTTTCAACGGAAAACTTTTTTTCCTTATATAGTTAGACTAGTAGACGAACACAGCTGATATATATCAAATCATCGAACATACGGTACTGATATAATTAACGCGTTTATCTTATCTAGAAAATTTTTAAACCAGTAAAAGGTTCGACGTACTACGCTAATCAGTGTAACAACCTGTGTTCTTCACATCTATCAATAATTTAATTTTCATGTAGCTAAAATTGAGTTTACGTTGTTAAAGGTTACGTACCCTAATTTTGGCATAATTATGTGTACTTACGCCGCAAATATAGATAATCTCAGAACGTGATACACATAAATATCAACGCGACAATGTCGATAAGCACGGGATCTACATATACACACAAAACCATTCTAATTTTAAACAACCGACTTTTATTTATTATTTTTTCCTTTACATAATTCCACGTTCTCGTATAAATAAGATTAATTTTTATCACGTCCAATTTGTTATTACCAAATTTACCGACACCTCACGGTTGTTCCGTACCGTAGCGCACTCTATCAAACTACGGCACATCTTCAAAATTTCAAACAGCAGAAAACCTCACATAACACCTTAACACAATAAACAACATATACAAAACAGTATTTATTTATTAAAATTTAATTACAACAATCCATTACCAAACTTCCACACTCAAAACTTACTTCTGCCCCTTAAGAAACTGATACACAAAACTGAAATCTTTTTTAGCAAACCCCTGAGCAATGATAGCTCTATAGATCTGATGCGCCAAAGAGCCCAACGGGATACTTGCTTCCACCTTAGCCGCAGCAGACTGCACTAATCCCAAATCCTTGGCCATTAAATCCGTACCAAAACCACCCTAAAATCAAGTCAATTAAATCGTCCAATTAAACGAGCCTCCCACACAAAGCAAAAAAAAAAAAAGAAACATTCAATTAATCACTTCGTAGTTTCTGGAGCTCGGCACATTGTCGAGAATTCCCGGCGCAGGATTGTACAGCTCGGAGGACCAACATCTGCCGGAGCTCGAGTTCACGATCTCAGCCAACACCTTGGGATCTAGGCCTAATCTGAAACGCGACAAGCTTAATGACACGATTATATTCATCGCGTATTACGGCTCAAATCCTGTGCGCGTTACTTCTGGCCGAGGTTGAACGCTTCGGCTGTGCCGATCATGCTAACAGCCAATAGCATGTTGTTGCAGAGTTTCGCAGCCTGACCCATTCCCACGTCCCCACAGTGAACTATCCTAGACCCCATGGACTTTAACAGAGGTTTGACGAGTTCGAAATTTTCTTTCGAGCCGCCAACCATGAATGTTAACGTGCCATCCTTAGCTGCGTTTACTCCTGAAATTAAAATTGAATTATAATCACGGAGGCTCTCAGACGTGAGCCCCGATAGTACCTAATTATGCTTGAGGCAGTGAGTCTTAAATCTGCGATCAAATGAAATTCCACGTTAAAATGGTAAATTAGATTAAAATTCTGAGGTTTCTAATACAATTACCACCAGATACAGGACTGTCTACGAAACGAACTGCAGACTTTTCAGCTTGTTCGTGTAAAGTTTGCGACACAAACGGATCTATCGTGCTGCTATCGATCAGCAGAGTGCCCCTTTTCGCTGAACTGAAAGCGCGAAAGACTGAAGAAGGGACTCGAGCGTTTCCCTCTCGGAGAGATAATGCGGTTGATAAAGGCGGAGGATGCTCGAGAAACGGCCACCTATTTACCTTAACAGGCCGTTTTTAATATTGTAGACGTCCAGAACGTGTTGATTAGATGGCAACATCGAAACGACCACTTGGACGTCTTTCGCCATCTCAGCAGGGTTCGCGGCTCTGTCAGCACCGGCCTTCGTCAGATTTAACACAGCCGATTCGTTCACGTCGAACACGAGTAATTTGTGGCCCTGCGACACAGGCGAATCGATAGTTACGATTATCGTGGGAACGGTGAGTTAATCTCGAAGGAGATGTTTAATTACCTTTTTCAAGAGGTTCCTCGCCATGTGGCCGCCCATGTTGCCCAAACCGACGAAACCGACCCGAGAGAAACATCTTTTTCCTGAATTTTCGGTAGGAAATAAACAGAGAATTTTTATTGCTCTGTAAATATCACGTGTGGTTATTTTTGGTGTTTTCTCTCCTACGGAAAATATACTTGGAAAGATTACCTCCAGCGGTAACAGCGACAAATCTCGCAGATAAACCGAGAACACTCATTACGGGAAACTTTATTGCACGACGTCTCGAGGAAATTAGCCGAAACTAGTCGATATGTTTCACTTCGTAACTGTGCGAACGTAGTATGAAGAAAATTTGAAATGTCACGTCGCGCGGTGTGTATCTATCTGTGAAAGATAGTACGGCGTTGTGACGAAACAACTTTACAACGTATGTATGTATGCTTCTTTGTATTCGATTGATGTAAATGAAAATCTTTTGGGCCGTCGATTAATTCGTCGCGAAGCTTGGGGGCACACTAGTCGAGCTGTACGACGCGTAAATAGTGTTTACCATTGAAACGAACGACGGCGTTATCAATGGTGACGTTTTGTTTACCACGATAGTGGACAATTTTTATCAATTAGATAAATTTTATTCATTTTATTGTCGTTACGCTGTACTCTTGGCTAGCGTTGTTGTGTATCACTATTCATAATAGATTTTGTTTTCTCTCATTTTGATAAGTTTCTTTCTCGCTCTCTCTCACACTTGTCCACTTGCTCACTCTATCACATACTCACTCATTCTCTCACTCATTCTCTTTCTTCCACTCGCTCTTTCACTCATTCTCTCACTCACTCTTTCACACACTCACTCATTTACTCACTCACTCTCTCTCACACTCTTTCTCTCTCTCCCTCCCCTCACTCACTGTCTGCCTCTCTCCTCACTCTCTCACTCTCTGCCTCTCTCCCACCCCTCACTCACTCTCTGCCTCTCTCCTCACTCTCTCACTCTCTGCCTCTCTCCTCACTCTCTCACTCTCTGCCTCTCTCCTCACTCTCTCACTCTCATTCTCTCTCACTCTCACTCTTACTCTCTCTCTCTCTCTCTCACTCCTCATTCACTCACTCTCTCTCTCTCTCACTCCTCATTCACCCACTCTCTCTCTCTCTCTTGCAAAATTTTAATGGTTCACACTATGGACGACTCTGTTGCTTCGTCTGGATTAAAAATAACGACTTCAGAATGGTTCAATTAAAAGGAACAACTCTCTCACTCACTCATTTACTCACTCTCTCTCTCTCTCTCCGTCGACGACATTTTTACATCGTCACGTTACAATACGGCTGTAAATTAAGATCTTATAACCGCAATGGACATTTCGCGAGGAATAAAGGAGCGAACGAGAGAGAGATTGTATCGTGCGTGATGCATAACGCATTGTCGAGGCGAAGCTCATTACTTTTTATTACCTGCTGCGACTGAAAGCACTCGTGAAAAGACATTTCTAACGCGCGCGTCACAATGATAGATCCCAACGACGTCTAACTACCCGACCGTTTAATTTCACCTTTAATTTAAACGATTAAACATCCATACACATACACACACCCATACCACTCTTCTCCCTCGTAACTATCCTTTCATCTGTTCAGCAAACAAACGCGTGAGGTATAGAAAACACAGAGCAATAAACGATAATAAAAGAAGCCGCAATAGATATAGATAAGAACGAGAAACTTTCGTATCAAACTCGTCACCTATACTACCGACCTACTTCTTCCTTCGATTATCTGTTCTCCCATTTACGAGGCGTCGATGAATATTTAAAAAAAAAAAAACATCGCCAATTAAGCAACAGTAATTACGCCGTTCTACCTCAACCACAGCCTGTAATTCTGTTTGCGGGGTTTCTTTATCGCCAGCCCTTATCTACCGTCAAACTGCACCACCCCGTACCATTTATGTTTCCCTATCGCGCACACTGCTCTCCTTAAATTGCACCTATACAGCTGTCCAACACCCTCTGTATATATTTGCCGCGTTCACAAGACCCCCGCGTCGAAATCATGCTCTCGCCAGGCTGAGACCAGGCCACACACACACACGTGAACTTGGAGTGAAAAGGGGAACCTAGACAAGGTGGACAACACGAGAAACTGGCGCGATTCCTTGGTCAAACAAAGGGCTTCTCCTTTCGAGAAGACACGCCGTGATTAAGCGGGCGTGTAAAGAGGATTAAAGGACCCAGATCCTTCGTTTCGAATGATTAGTATCAGTCATGAGGGTGTATCCGTTGATTCTTGCGTCTTCGATGTTTGTTTTATCGGTGAAGTGTGGTAGGAGAGATATACCACTTCCAGAAGATAAATCGTGGATCAGCGACGAGAATTTTAGAACGATCGTTAGATCGACGTTCCCTTCTTCGGTGTGCTGCAACGTTTTCCTGAGTGGTTGGTGAATTTCCAGAGTAGAGCGTGTGTGTGTGTTTCTCCTCTATTTTTTCAGTTGTGCAAATTGAAAGTTGGTCGGTGAATTTGAACGCAGATTCGATGGGGGATTCGAAAGCACTGTTCAGCCAATTCAGAAGTATCTATCCATACGAGTACCTCTTGAAACGGAGCACCTACGAATGCGACGGATACTTTTTGCTGGGATCGAGTGACAACGAGATCGTGGAACCCGTGGAAAAGTGATAGAAAATAATTCTAGCGTGAAACGGTGTTTCCTTTTTTTATAAATAAAACATTGCTTTTTTTCATAGAATATCGTTACTGTGGAAGACAGAGATTCCGATTGTTTTGAATAACGATGTTCCCGATGATTCTAGCCTGCTTAATAATTCCGCGTACGGAATTGCAAATGTGAATATCGTTTCGACGTCAGGTACATGGAGACTGTCGGAGAACTACTCTGAAACCCAGAGCATTCGTTAAAATCAACAGGTAATACCGATGAAGAAAAAAAGATAAACGATAAACAAGGTTTGTAAAAATTCATTTTCTTCCTTGGAAATGCAAAGGTACGAGGAAACGCGGCACGAGAACAACATCAATTTTCGCGGCAGAGAGTTACAAGTTTGCAGTATCTATCGGCCACCCATGACATACTTAAATCACACGATCGTGGAAACGATCGATGGTGAGCAAGCAGAGGTGTTCGTAATGGACAACGGTAAACAGCTGTCGTGAATTTAAAATCGTTCCCGCTGTCGTAATCCTGATGCATGTTTCGCGAAGCGCAGCCACGGATTGGAACGGGATCGAGACGCGGCTGTTCTTGATTATGGCGGAAAAACTGAATTTCACGTGGACCATAAGGAAACCAGAAGGAGGATACACGTGAATATGAACACATAGTGTATTGAAAAATTATTCGTTGAATTTATTTAACGTTCAATTGTGCGCAGATACGGCAGAAGAGTTAACGAGACACTCTGGAAGGGTGGAATGATACAAATGTTACGAGAGAAAAAAGTATACCCAGGTGAAGTTGCCTAATACGAGACCCATTTCTTAAAGAAGTCGTAACTGAGAACACTTTTATTCAAATTCGATACATGTTTTAAAAGTACGATATGTATTCTTTTGTAAGGTACTGGAGTGCACGGTAAAGAAGATTCGGTTCCTTCGTAATAAAATAAAAAGGAAAATTATGCAAATACACAGATTTAAAAAATGGGTTCCTAATATGAGAAAACTATTTTTTCTGTCTTTTTTCACACATTCGGCATACTAAATCTGTTTCTCCAGCACCGCAGGCTTCGTGGGCTCACCGGGTAACACTTTGTACGCTAAAAGAAAATTGGGTACCTAATATGAGACTCTTGTTATAATAGGAACTTCCGAGGGTCTCATATTCGGAAATTCTTGGTTATTTAACGATACGCAACTAGTAAGCTTTAAACTCCGTTGCATGCACCATACAACAGTATTTATGAAAATGATTATAAACTTACTATTTTCGAGGTATTTGTAATTTAATCGAACCACTTGAAAATCTTTTATTTCAATCAGATTTGATATTTAGCTTGATAATTAACGCGGTTAATTACGAAAGCATCGCTACGACATCCAAGAGTTCTGCGACGGAGATATGCTGGGGTCTCGTATTAGGCTACTTTACCCTAACGTTTCTCACGAAGTAGGTGTAGAATCATACTAATCTTACTGAAATATTGATTTTGTTGCTCGTATTATTAGGTAGACATGGCGTTTGCTAATATCTGGTTGACACTGGATCAAAGCACCTTCGTGCACTTGTCCGAACCTTGATACCAAGTGCACATTCACTTCTTGGTTCCTCGTCCTCGTCGAAGAACAAGCTTCTGGGCACTCGGTAGACCGTTCTCTGGAGAAGTTTGGTACTTGCTACTGTCTGCCTTACTTTTCCACAGTTTTTACACATATATTCGTGCCTGGATCGATCCTACATTCCCAAAACGTAAATGACCATTGTTAGAAATGAGAAACGAAAGTTACAATTTGGTGTTTAAAATGTGCTTTCCAGGATTTAGAAATTTTCCAATTACTCTAATCGATCTAATCGGCTGTCTGCTAAGCAGCTCAGTGCCGAAAATTCGCGTGACCAACAAACTGCAGACACTTCTGTGGCAGACCGCAGGCTGGTTAATAATTGCAGCCTATTACAGCAGCCTCGCGGCCAGGCTCTCAAGTTCAGACTACGAGAGAAGGTATAGTCGGTGGAAGAAATATCGCGAGGTCGTGGGTTCGGGCGTTAACCCTTTCTTTAATTCCTGACGTGGATGATTGACGGTAAATTTTAAACCACGGCTGCAAAATTCCTCATTTAAGGTGGAAGAGCGCGAAGGATGCAATTAAGTATTGAATTAAGGTGGAAATTTTGAAAACACCTAGAGGCGCGAATAGTAACGAAAGGGTTAAGTAATGGCTCGAATTAATGCAGTTGGTTGGATACTGTATTCCACGTTTCTCAATTAGAATCGAAGCTGAAGCTCTGACCGACAAATAGTTTTGTTTCCACACTAATTATGCAGATGAATTTTTCATTGAGAAACACAGTCTCCATATTTCAACAATTATCTCTAATATTTTCCGAGATATCGCAGCAAATAGGTTTCCACGGCCTAACTTTAAGGGCTGCTTTTGTCCCTCCGACATGAACGACGGTCGATACAAAAAAATACGCGTCGAATATTTTTTCGAGAACTATGCCATACGTAAATTTCATCGAATGAAACGTTCTTTTCTGAGATTTTGAGTCGTTACTTTTTCTAAGGAAGTGTAAATTTGGACGCCTAATCGAAGTTACGACCCCGCTACATATCTTCCACGGTGAACTATCAAACGAAATGGAAGATCAGTATGTGCGACGTGTTGCAGAATCGATACCGTGGAACAATTCCTCGCGGCGAATTTGTCGTGGGGGAATATGGGTCAGGTGCCACCATTTCGCGATTACTTCGATCTGACGGTAAAAAATAAATGATAATCTAATTATGTCGTAATTGAAATCGGACAACAGGGAGATTATGTTGGATTTTTCTAGAATCCGTACGCATCGCAGCTTCCAAACAAGTATTGTTACATAAAGAACAGCGCGCAATTGAGGCGATTAATTATGGACGGTAATTACGCGATTCTAGGAAAGATCGTAGGAGTGAGATTTTTCCTGGACGACTACGTGTCGAACGACGATCTGAAGGTACAGTCGAAGGAAGAAATATAGCGAGCTCGTAAAATCAATCAAAGTTTCTCAACAGAAAACCCTTTTTTCGTGCAAAGCTTACTTCCAGTACACTTTACACAAAAACTATACCGTATTTTACCACGAAAAAAAAATTGAACGCACAGTGTAACGCAAGAACAACAATCGTACTAAGTTTCGTTCCGATAGCTGTGATAGTTTTCTCTGAAAAAATTCCCAAAGAACAGCTACTTTTCGATCGTCTAAAAACGAAAGTGCTTTATTTCACGATTTCGCTACATTTCTTCCACCGACTATACAGTTGCATACTAAATACACCGTATGCGTCGAGGGAGTACACATTCGACTAAATTCCAAATGGTAGAATTACAGGCTTATGAAGCAATCGGTGGGAAACTTTTACTTCTCTTTGGCTTCTGGAGCCTGTAAACAGCGTAAATCGAGATTTCTGTACAAATAATCACCCGAGAGAACACGAGAGAGAGAACAGTGAACGTGCACGAACCACGTTGCGTCCGTGACACGTTTACTCGTTCCTCTTCTTTTCTCTTTTTTTGCCTTGTTGTTCTGTTCGCAGATAATGCTGTGTTTGAAGGAAACTGGCATCACTATCTGGCATTTACGAGATGTCATTCGCAGTCGGGCAAGCTATAATCTTCACGAAGTTCTCGTGGAGCATGACGGATACGACGGAAGTGTGCAAGTCCTCGGATTGACGCCACTAGGCGCTGGATTTTCGTTGTTGCTCGTTGGCACGTCGATAGCGACTCTGGTTTTTTATTTAGAGTTGAAACGAGCCGCTGGTTCGTCCTCTGTTCGCCAATTTCTTCGAGAAATCGACGGAAAACGCGGGGAAAATGAGTGAACAGCCAGATAACACACAGTAGACATCTAAATTACCTGGCCGGTTAATCCGACATGTTTCAGTTATCGTTTCTAGGTAGTTACTGAACAAAAATTAACGTACAAGTATATCAATAATCTTTATTGCACATACCTAATACATACATACGTATAAACAATGTTCGTTAAATATTATTTTTTACAAACGAATCGGTAATCTTTTTCTGCTTCTTTGATTGCCTCTTGCTGAGTGCAATCTTTCCTTCTGCATGACTCACTTCTTCGTTCTTACGTGGAAGTAACGTTTAAAATGCTTTCGAGTTCGCTCGGAAAACGTTGCGACCGAATGTTCGATAAGACTGGCTGGCTGAGAAACGATGAGTTTGCTGTGCAACGATTGCCTATTATCTTTTGCACCGTAATAAGGAAAGAAACACGATGCATTATTTCCAAGACGACAATACCGTGGATGAAAATATCATGTAATATGTACATTGTATAAGTTTTCTTATAACAAAAATTTAGTATGAATAGAAAATAAAATTAGTAAGAGAAACACTATTTAAACAATGAAAAAAGTGGCAAAAAGTAAATTTAGTTGGAAGAAAGTGAATGGTCAATTTTTTTCATGTCACCAAAAATGTGGCCGGTTAAAGCGGGGCCGGATAATCGGGAGTTTACTGTACCTTGAAAATTTCATATTTTTTGCACGACAAAACTTAAACAGAAATGAAAAATTTCGGTGCTTAAATTTCGAACGCACGCCATTTTGTTAAATTTTGAATTACGCGGCTAATTTTTGTACCAGCGATAGCAGTACTGATACCGATTAAAAATCTTTCCAATTTTCTTATTTTGGATCAATCTTCGACCTGAATGCAATTCCACCGGCGAAGCGTCTCTTTCTAATTACGTTATCTTACCAAAAAGCTACTTAAAAAATTAGCGTTGTTATTCATTGCGTACACCGAAAAGAAAAACTGAATATCGCCGAAATTTTCGGCGCGATCGTCGGAATGACCGTTTAAGTGAACACGCGTTATCTAATCGCTATTTTAATCAGTGAATGACTTACCGAATTTCGAAGGAGAGCATTTAGAAAGTGGTGAACAGCATGTGAAAGTGACGACGACTCGTTCGTGGTCGCCACTCGCAATCGGTTGTGCATCGTCGACAGTGCAACTATACTAACACGGTATTTTTGAAAAAATAACGAGATTCACGATAGTATTCATAAAAATCGTTCATTTCCGACAGATTTCCGAAGATCTGCTTTCGGATTCGTTATAACCAGTCCCTTTCGTGGCGATTTTAAGTCTTGCTGCTAAGAAGTAGTCACAGAGAGCCAAATTGTGCGAATATGGAGTTTTTTCGTTAAAAATTCACGCAATTTTCTTCTCGTATATTTTCGTAACGAGGTGCACCGAGATACTGTCACTTGAATCGCAATCTTTTAAGCGTGGCTAATAAGAAACAATCACAGAGAGCCAAATTGTGCGAATATGGAATGTTTTCGCTAAAAATTCACCTAATTTTCTTTTCGTATATTTTCATAACGAGATCTACCGAGATAGTGTCACTTCACTCGCAATACCTTCCACATTATACGTATCTTTATCGCTCGTGAAGTAACAGAGTCTGTATATCAAAACATAACCTTTAAAACGCCGTTCACAATTTGGTAGGTGGCGCTGGCAAAAAATTGAACGCGAAAAAAGGGAAGCGAATCCCGTTACTTTTCAGGCATACGCTATATACTTAGATGGTACTTGGTGGAATACACGATAAGATGATTATACCGCGTAAAACTAGATCGTACGCCAATTAACGATGACGGTGCACCGAGAGTGTACGGGAGGAAAATTCACGTAGTCGGTTAAGATTAAATTGCACTTAATCGACGGCGAAGCCAGTCGACTTGCGTGCACGGCGCAGCACGGGACCAGCGACAGTTCTCTTCGCCACTGAAAAGTCCGCGCGTCGCGAGCCTCGGCGCTTTCTCTATCGCCGGAGTTCAAATGGAAACGAAACCGTGACAAATTGCAGAAACGAGAAGGTGGAGAAGTAAAGAGTGTCGAAGTGTGACAAACGTTTGAAATTTCTGCGACGGTGATTATGGTATTTGACGCGCGGTGATTTATCCTTGGATTTTAGATCGAAACGATTGTATTTTTTCTTCTTTATAGTTGCTTTCGCACAGAGAGAAAGAATGAAGAGTAAAAAGCACATCGACGACGGTGAGAGTTCTTCGCATTTTTACTACTTAAAGATCGTGTAAGACTGTGTTTTCTCGAGATAAAAGACGATGGCGTTTGCATTTATATGCTATAATTTCTCTGAAGTTCGATAAACGTTTAGTTAGCTCGTTGTTCACGATGAATTAATTTTGCTAGCTCAACCGGCCACAGTGGACGAGCATTTTCAGCTGATCTTGGACGACAGGACCACCATTGACCCAGACTTCGTGAAAGTCACTCCGGACGATCTTCCAGAATGGTTCGACAAACGATTGTTCAAAACGTAAGTATAAAAAGGTTAAACGGTGGAATTACTATCAATATGCAAGGTCACAGGATAAAAATTTCAATTCTAGGGGTCAAGAATATTACAAGGACAATTTACTAGGATTTGGAACTGCACATATAGCAGGCCTGGTAGCGATATTAGCCGTTCCAGACATACTAGAGGTAACAACGTAACAAAAACTACATACACGATCCAAAAAATCCGAATGAAAATGTAACTGAAGATATTGTATTGTTCCTGAATACTACATCTCGTCTAAGAAGCATCGTATCGTTATATCAGACGCGATAAAGAAAAAAGAACCGAGATAAAGAAAATCTTCGACTTCGCAGGTGCTGGTCTATACGAAAAAGAGTAGTACAGTATGCTTATCGTACAAACGATTCGCCGAAACTTTGTTACTCATGTACGCGCTCTTTCACTCGGATATGCTTGACCCGAATTCAAAGTGAGTCTCTGGAGGTTGCGTTAAATGTAAGATAAGAGAGTAACCGCGATAGAAACCGGTCGTGTGAAATCTGCTTGCTTGCCAAGGTGGTTCAAGGCGATGAACGTGGTCCGATGGAGGCACGCAACGGTCAGCAAGAGGCACCAGAAGGACGGGCACCATGGGATTTATCAGAAGGATATGGTTATCACGCAATTCGGTTTCATAGGATATGTTTTCATATGCCCGGAAAAAGTTGGCCTGGCGCATACCACGTACGAGCAAAAAATGGGTTTCAATCATTTTTGGCGCGTCACCGGTCACCTGTTGGGTATAACGGATAGGTAACCGCGTTAAAATCAAATTGAAATTCATCGGAAATTGTCGAATTTTCCTCCGGTGGTGAAATTTCACGGTTGTTTTTTTTTTTCGTAGGATAAATATCTGTCGAGAGACGGTGGAGGAAACGACGGAATTATGCAAAAGGGTAGCGTACGAAATTCTAGCTAAACACTTGGAGAATCCACTTCCGGAATTTGAAAAATTGTCGTCGAACGCGGTGACCGGAATGTGGTACATCGATGTCACGATCGACACGGATGCCTTCATGTACAAAACATACGACCTGACGGGTGTCAAATGTTAGTTTTGATTAAAAGGGATAATAGTTTCTTTTACTTTTGTTACTTTTATTCTTGTAGATAAAAAGCCTCTCGGATGGTACTCCACGTTGATGCTGTACAGAGGCATGTTTCTGCTGTACATGTGCAGTAAGTGTTTTTTTCTTTTTTAGATCGGAATAAAGAATAATGCGATATGTGGTTTTCTGTGTGTACCGCAAGATATAGCGTGTGAAATATGATACATTTTGCGTACGATTCAAGTACAACGTGGAAAAAGTATATGTAAATATTTTTATATTTTTTTTTTATGTTTTTTCTAGGTGTTCCCTATATTGGAAAAGTGGTGCGGGAAATCTTTAACGTGATTCTAACGCTAACTTACCTGATGCTTGAGTATTGTCCCGTAGCCGCTTGGCTAGCGTTTGGAAAACAAAAATCGCAACTTTGCCTGTATCCTAATATATGAGGATAGTATTTTCACGGTGTAAATCCGAGACAATTAAATCAAATGGTTATTTTATGCGTAAACAAACGATTTGTGGGTGATCGATAAACGTAGGGTTATTAATAAAAGCATAGAATTAAAGCAACCAATTAAAATTGCCCGTTTATTTGAATTATGAATGAAACATGATTTAAATCACCGTAATTATTTTACTTCTACCGTTCAATTGTGAAACGTGATAAAGGATCGTATTACCTTTGGTCGATAGCTATGGAGAGAGTCAACGGTCGGAACGTATGTTAACGTCTATCACCAGAGTTCGCTGCGTGTCACGTAACATGAATTAAGTATTTAAGCGGTAACTTGAGCGTAATTATCAACTACGTGCAATACGTAACTCATTAGTCGGGAACGAAATAAAAATTGAGTTTGGTTGAAACTCGTGTCGTTAGGCGACAATTATATTTACCATTTATCACTTAACCTACAATCAGACGGGCGAAAAAACCGCGACAAACTTTCATCACGGCAAACAGGAAACGGAAAGCGCAATCCATTGGAAAAATATATGACAGCAGAAGGTTTAACGACGCTCGTACCGATAAATCCATCGCCTCGTACACTTCGAAAGGTGTATCGCGTAATTAAGATCTTAACGATCCACGCATTAACGACACGTTTACCGTTTCCGATATCCTGATCATTAAAACGCGTCTAATAAATCGTCCGGCGACTTTTTACTTCAGAAATCCATCAATCTGCCGTTCGTTCAATCGAATCAACCACTTTCGACCTATTTCCTCCGGCCTCTGTACCTGTCAAAAATTGGTCATTCTATCTCGCGGCGAGCCTACTCCCCCCCCGCCGATATCCCTGTCCGGCGCTGGCGATAATTATCAGTCGCAATTTGTCTGGCACTGTTCTCTCTACTCCACCCACGGACACCGCTCGATCTCTCCACTCTTGCGCGCGCGTTCATCCATTCGGTGTGCCATTATCCCATCTCTCGCCGCGTAACGTCATCCTCGCTCTCCTCCCTTCTTCCCACTCTCATTCTCTCTCCCTCTCTCGCACTCAAAAAACAGGATCGCACAGGATCATTTTTTACGCGAGTCGCGTGATTCCATGTTCGCCGCATCTTCGATGCGAGCTGGTTAGAGACTCGCGTGAGAAGTGAGCCTCTGCTCTCGCACACCTTCGCAAACACAACACCATCAACCGCCACCAGGACACGATGTGGCGTGTGCGCTCGTGCAACACATACCCAAGCATGCACGCAGGCACGCACACGCAGTAGAAGATCGCAACAGAGAACTCAACACAAGGAAACGCACACCTGCTCGACTCGCTTACGTGCACACGAAGGAACGAAGGCGTATGTAACACGGGTCCAAGAGTACATAATACACAGCCATATATCCTTCTGTCCCGTAGCTACTCTCCCTCGACCCTGTCGCCTCTCTTCTCAGTTCCTCTCCTCGGTTCCTTGGCTCACACCGGCCCTTCCCCCCTCCTCCCCGTTCTGCCGCCCAGCGCCGCAGCTAGCGATCCTCCCCTCCCCTCCACACCCCGTCGCACCGCGGCCGCCCGGCGTCTCTGCGCGCCATCGAGTTCTCTCCTCATTCCCCCTTGCCGGCTTGCACGACCTAAACGAGATGACTCGTCGCGAGGACAGAGGAGCGGCGTTAGAGGAGACGCTGCTGCTGCTGCCGCCGCCACCGTCGCCGCTGCTGCTGCTTAAGAAGAAGGAAGATGAGAAAGCAGGAAAGGACCGGGGGGGAGGGGAGTAGAGGTATCAGAGGCCGTCCAGAGAGGAGAAAGAAGATGGCCCTGCGGCCCTCGTGTTGCACAAAGAGATCCGCGCGCGTCCGCCTCTAAAGCTCGATCCATACGCAGCCACGGCAACGTGGCTCCTCGCCTCGAAATCGTTTTGCGCCGCTGTAAATTGCAAGCCATCGGCCTGCCACCACCGTAGTCGTCGTCGTCGCCACTGCCGCAGAGCGGTGTATTTGCCTCTCTTCCTCTTTTCCATTTCCTAGGTAGGAGAAATGGGAAAGAACCAGCGAACGTGTTTCGTTTCGAATCCCTTTTTGTCTCGAACATTTCGCCACCGATATGAATGTGCGATTTTTACGCGTGAAAATGGATTATAACGCATATATGGATGTTCCGATAACGAGAACACGAGTAGATACCGAATAGATTCGACTCATCAACGCAGATTCCATTAGTCTTTTCCATACTTCGTCCGGTTTTCCTGCGTACAGTTCGCTTTCATACGCGCACATACATACACATGGCACTCGCGTGAAGTAGATGAAATATCATCGTGTATCGTATTACAATGTTACCCGGCGTCGATGTATAGCCGCGAATGCAGCACAGTTCCATGGAAAATACGTTTCAAGGTGGTGGGCACATTAGGCGATAAAACAGTGTTGCCTCGAGATTCGCCACGAAACTAGGAAGAGGTTGCACCAGCAGGAACTGTGTCAAGGTTACAATAAATATATTCGCGCCACCTCCGAAGAGATCAATCCTCGTTAATCTTTAACGCGATTTACTACAACGTGTTACGTGCCGTTACGTAACAACCGCATATTATGCATATACGTGTAGGTATGTATGCATATGCATACGTTCGCGTTTATACTCGATCCTTTGAAAAGCACGAAATCTTAGCGGCTACTTATTCCCGAAAATATTTACCTTCCATGCTCAGCTATAAATCTCATATTTACGACCCCCGCGTACACGGTGAAGTTGTACCCCCGTAAACACGCGCACACAGTGCCACCTATCCATAGAAAAATACTCCACCGAGCACACGTACGATGGCGCGTGTGCGCTCTCGTCGTACACGTGTATAAATCACGGTGATCCCATTTTTCCGCTACGCTTCTCGATCTTCTCTCGAAAACTACCTAAAGATTACGAAGCATGCTAGGTCTCGCGAGACTCATGCTGGAGCTATTACGAGACATTATCTCGCAGGTGTCTGGTCTGCGAGGTGAAGGCGACCGTCCACGACAGAAATTCGCGTGTAGCCGGGTATACAAGTGAGAAAGAGAGAGCGAGAGAGAGAGAGAAAAGGAAAGAGAGAGAAGGTTCGTTAGGCTTTCACGAGTTAAGCTAGATAGCCACGGGCATTGCGTATACGATCTCCGGCGCGTATCGCATCCACTCGGACGACGTGCCTTTTTTCCCTTCCTCTCTCGTTTCCTCTTCCCCTCCTCGTTTCCCATCAGCCTCCTTCCAGTCCTCTCTCCTACCCCTCGGTATATCCCTCCCCTTCGTCTTACCATCGGAGAACCCCTCTTTTCCCTTTCGCCCTCACCAACGTGTCTCTTGCTTACTTACTCGCTCGTTCGCTCTCTCCCTCCCTCCCTCTCCCTCTTGCCCCTGTCCTTTTCTTCTTTCTTTACGCGTCGTGGTTCGCGAGGTACGCGACCGAACCGACGACTCCTCTCTTTCTCCGGATGGGAAACGACTGTCCTCCGATACTTTCGAGCCGGCGCAACGACGACGCCGAACACGAAGACGAAATGCGAGCACTCGCGGCCATGGGGGAAAACTGGGAGACTTTCTTCCGTGGATGCTGCAACGGCTATTTATTCTTTCTCCTTGTTTCGTCGTCTCATTCTCTACGATTTCGATGGATTTTGATCGTGTATCGACAAGATACGGCGCATTAAACGGACCGAGTGTAATCGAATGCAAATTACCGACAGATAGTAATTACCGATCGGTTGGTTCATTGGTAACCAAGTGTCGATTACGTTTAATGGAGAATCGAAAGGTTTCACATGCTTGCACATATATAGTCCTCGAGTTTGTATTTTTTCATTGTCATTTTATGATTGTTTATGTACGACAGTTTTTTCAATCGAATAAATTTGTTACATTCTTCCGTGCAATGCTTTTTACCATTGATAAAAATGTAGATGCATGGATTATTCGCGAGACCAATTAACCGTACGAGTGAAAGGTTACGTATATTTATCGAGCACGATGACGCGTGGTTACGTAATCGAAATAATACGAATATTTGCGAACGTTATTAATATCACGGACAAATTCCCGGCCACTTAGAATCACGGCACGTCGCGTTTGCAACAGCGTGGAGTTTTCGTACCCGTACATCCCCGGTAGTTCGTTTCAAACGGATATTGGCAGAGAAATGAGAGTCCGCCAATGCTTTCGAGTCGGCGCAACGCCGACGACGCGGACGGCTACGACGACAACGACAAAGTGCGAGCAGTTGTAATGAGTTTCCTCAAAGTCCCTCTATTTCCAAGATTACATCGGAAGGGACGGAGAGATATATAGTCGGATTCGTTGCGCGCTCGTCAGCTTTTTCCTCCGTTTCTCCTTACTTTGCATCTGCTTCAGCGAGATGTAAATAAGGAAACGCATTATTACGCGATGGAACTAATTGCATATTAGCGACGATGGAAACGTATAATGCGAGAATGTCGCGATATACCGACAGAAGGTATATAGTATATTCTAGTAAATAGTATATATCGCACATGGTATGATCTAATTGTAAAATTAACCACGACGATATTCGGTTTCGGTAAGAACTGGGCTGCGTCGTATTCGACCACTGCGTGGATCGAAGAACGTCCTGAAAAAACCCACCAATGAAAGGGCTCGGCCTCGCGTCCTCGCCGGTGCCATTTATGTACGTCAGCCATGGTTCAACGATGACATCGTGTAAAACGATTCTTGCGACATTTCATCACGAGGAATTTGCAATTTCGCTGGATGCTGGATTAATACTTTTTTGCTCTTATCGAGAGGAAAGATTCATGGTTGGCGGTAGACCGCGGGAACAGTTCCATCGATGAGGATGAAAGGCGGGTAAAAAGTAGACACCCGTTAGTTCGATGGGTCATGCGGACCGTGCAGGCTGTTCAGAGGCCAATTAACGTAGTTACAGGGAGCAGGGTTCGAGAACAGTGGAGGTTTTATTACGATTACGACAGGAGGGTAACGAGGTAACTGTATCAACGTTATCGCAGTTATCCGTGCTTATAGCAATAATCCACTTACGTGTCGTTGCTCAGCGGAAAGGAAGAGGACGGTTTTCTTAAAACGTCGCGCAGATATTTTCGTCGATTTCACGATTTATAGAG